GCCCTCTTGTTCCTATGGACTATGGAGATTGTTAGTGCAAGAAGGGCAAGGACTAAATGCTGGGGGCTCTCGCAGCCAGTATTAATTTTCGCGAAAGTGTGGACTCGATTTTGTCGTCAATTGCCCCCAAAAACAGGCGCGGCAAGTAGCTAACCTACCTACACCAACCGTTGAAACCCCCACTTAATTTAAAAAAATAATTTTTTTTAATTATGTTATTTCCAAAAAAACTAAATATAAAAACTGTGAAGCCTGACAAAGAGTTATACGTCATGAATTTTGATGGGTCAGCCCGAGTAAAACAGGTAGGTGGAGACTGTAGCGCTATTATATAAAGATTACCTGATTGGACCATAGTCAAGGAATCTTTAAGTTTCTTATCACCTCTACAGTAAATGAGGCCGAGTATGAGGGTATGCTACTGGGTTTCGACCTGTTAGAGTCTCTAGAACGACGGCGATTGATCACCCGTGGAGTTTTGACTTGGTGGTGCGACAAATGCGGCGGGATATTGAGTACAAGGCTGCACGATTGTTTTTATTACGAGCAAGAGCTTTAAATAAGCTGCTTTCATCGCCCATCCAAAGGAATCGTGTACGTTAAACGTGATTGGAATCAGAGTGCCGACCAATTGGCCAGCACAGCTCTGCGTCAGAAGAAAGGGATGAAGTCGATACCGGAAGGAGAATGGCCAAATTTGAAAGCGATTAATCGATGGCCAGAGTTACTAGTTCCCTCGGACCAAAGTTCATCGGCCAAGGTGTTTGCGGTTACTCGATCTGGATCTCCCATCAAGATGTCAGGGGATATCCTGCAAGAGGGTGTGATACCAAGACTCCGGACAGATTGAATCAAGGAGGCACAAGAGCAAAAAGACTGGGTGCAAGACTTGAAGGCCTACTCGAAGGGAGATTGGGTCAGCGTCCATGGAGTCCGCTCACTAGTGCAGTAAGATGGCCAGAGACTAAGAGATAGGTGAAGACGGGCTACTTTTGTATTGTCCCGGTCAGAGGGCCGAGGGAGACGACCGAGAAGTAACGGCCATACTAGTTAAAGAAAGGTCACTTTCGTAGTTTGGTGCAAAATGCAAAGTGATTGATTTAAGTCCTTAGTTCACAAGCTACTTGCTACCTCTATGCCTCTTGTCCTACCTACTGGATACACTCTACTGAGATTCTTTACTGGATACTGAGTTACTTCAGCCAATCAGCGAGTGCCACGTAGATCCCATCATGTACCCACAATCTTGTACCCACGTGTGGCGTAAACATTGTCCCATAATCACAGGAATGATTGCGGTACTGCTGAGTGAAGGTCATACCGGTATCTGCCGGTATTCCGCAGCTGGTCGAGGCGTCTTCTTGACAACACTAGTGATACCCGAAAGTCTCCAAGCTGACGTCGTGCATCACTACCACACCAGTCTGAAGGAGGTCACCAAGGGGTTGGACGTACCTATCACCGAATCCGATGGTACTGCCATTGGAGAGGTTTATTCCAAAGCGTACAGAGGTATGTGAAGACATGTGTGGATTGCGATACCGGGAAAGGAGGACCTACTCTGCAGGGCAAGACTCCAGGAAATGTCGAAGCAACATACCCTTACCAGATTATAGCGATGGATCATATTCCCTCTCTTCCCAGGTCGCACCGAGTTACTAATTTAGGTCGACCTGTTCACGGGGTATGTGATGGCCGAGGCTAGTGCGTCGCGAACGGCCCAGACGGTAGTTGAAGGGTACGAAGAATGCGTTTTTTGCCTTTTTGGTGCTAGCGAAGCAATCCACCACGATCGATAGCCAGGATTTGTGTCGGATTTCTTTTGGGCGTTAAGTCCCATGGTGGACCAGCGTCAACAGGCGACCATGGCCTATCGACTTCAGGCGAATGGGACCGCGGAGAGGATGGTTCAGACCCTGACCAGATCCATCGAGATGTAGCCTATGTGGTAAAGTGGGTTCTCAAAACTGCGTAATCAGACCCCAAACCACTCATTGTGCCGGACTGCCGACTGTCGGACGGGGTATCCCGATGCCGCGTGTAGCCTTCTCTCACCCTGTGTACCCGTCGGCTGGCAGGTTGAACTCTTCGAGGACTTGGTTGACATGTGATGTCAGCCTTGAGAGAGGTCGACCATGGGGTGCCTCGAGCCGATATACTTCACTCGGTAGGCGGGTAGGTAGCCACTCGGTCGATTCGGTCGAGGGTGGACTTATAACCAGATTCTTCAGGGGAGATTCTCAACCCTGACCTTTCCGCTTGGCCTTTACTTGCTCCCGGACCAGTAGGGTAGGGAGACCGCTTCCGATAGCGGGTTGAGTGGGGGGAGGGGTGCTACTCAGACGAAACCACAAGTCAAATATATCCTGGGGCTCTATTCGCACTTGGGTCTTACCACACAACTGTCTTCGACGGGGGGCCAAATTTTATCCCTTCCCGGAACAGGTGGGTAGACTTAGTAAGTCGACGAAGGCGTGATATGTAGATCGCAAATTGAGTAGTATTTAATATAGCCCTATCTTTTAACTCCTTACTCTATCTTTACCCCCGAGACCTGATTCTTGATTCTGCTTGGCTAGGGTATATCGACCAAGTGACCGAGGGCCGAAAGGCCGATAGTCCAGGGACCGAGGCCAAATGACCGAGGGTCCACCAACCGAAAAGCCAAGGTCTACCTTTTTGAACAATCGAGGTCTACCGATGATAGACCAGGGTCTACTTTGAAAGACGGGGATCCACCTCGAGGAACCGCGGTTAACTCCTCTGAATGGCGGCTAACTAATACTCTTTGACCGCACATTCTTCTCATCCAACGTTCGTTCCCCGTCCTTTTTAGTGCCCCGTCTCTCTGTCCCTTACCCAACGGTCGCTCCTTCTTGGTGGATCCCCTTCTATTTGACCCACCGGTCCTCTGACCTACCAATCTTTGGAACGCTTCACTAAAGCCGCCGTCTGCACTCAATAAACGGTACAGACGCTTGAACACGCGCATGTCTTTGAATCCTTCACCACGTAAGTACTCCTTGTTTGTTTGGCCGTTCGATATACGTTGTCTGACTGGACGCATCTCAGCTGTTCCTTCCTCTGGGATAGACTCAACAACCGAGGGATCGGTCTTGGACACTCCTGCCCATTGACTCAGAGGCTCAAGTTCCTTCTCAAACACCGATCGACACTCCTCTCCAGGTGCCCGGGCCGAAGAAGCCTACCTTGGTTCCTTCTGAGGTCGTAGGTGGTGAGGGTCCCTCAGACGTGGATGACCCTCAGTCGACCTCTGGCTACGATAGGCGGTCCTCTAGACATGCCTCAGGTGCTGCGCGACCTACAAAACCGTCTAAATGCATATAGTCAAAGACTTGAGACGAGTGAAGGTCGACCTATCGCCGTCCTTACCCCCGACGCCTACTGGACCGCCCGGTGTGAGCTCCTCGAAAGAGAGCTGCAAGACACCCACCGCCTCGTGGTTCAGTTACGCGAAGGACTCCAGCAAGAGAGATCGCTGACGGAGCATTTGCGGTGGCGGATGGACTACCGCCAGAGCCGCTACGCTCCCATGATGGCGGAGTTGGAGCACGAGTATTGCCGCACGAGTCCATTTTTAGGATCGCACGGCTCCTTTCGTGACTGCTCCCGCAGTACCTCCCACCGCGGTGACGAGTAAACGATCTCGGCGTCCACCGGCCAAGGCTACCGCTAAGTTCCCCAAGACCGCCAAGTCAAGCACCCCCAGTACTCCCGCTTTGTCGGCGCCCAAATTGGGGACCCTCCAGGGTCTACTCTTGGTATCCCACAACACAATATCCGGCCGAAGAGCCGCGCCAGTATATTCAGGTTCAGTCTGATTCAGGCGCAGCTCGGCACTGGATTTATCATGAATAAGCGCTTTCCGGATCTGCGTACCAATCTTTTCGAGCGCGTCATCATGACGCCGGCGGATTAAAACCATGTTAGGGGTACAATGGTTCAAAACGTGCGCCAGCGTCTCGGCGCTCGAGCAAGTCGGTGCTCGGCAGTGGTGATTCGACCGAAGTCGACGTCACTTGAGCACCGAGTTTGTATCGACCTGGTTGAGGCGGGCTTGAATACCGAGCCAATGTTCAGCATCAGAGAGACCCGCCCCATTCGTCACGAACTTGGACCCCGATCCACCATGGACCCGAACAGTTTTGCCCTGGTCCACCAGACCCTTCCACCGAGTCTGGTGACGGATCTTCATATGCAGATTAACGTTTTGCAGCACAGTCTTTGTGGGTGATCCACTGACCGTGATGCGGTAAACAAAGCGCAAGGGGGTCTTCGGTGTCAATATCGACACGATCGACCGAGCTGATATGGTAGACGCCCATAATACGTTGGACGTCCGTCCACAGCGAGGCGATATCACCAGACCGTCGAAGGGCGGTGGCATAAGGTGAGGCAGCACGCTCCGAATTCAAAAATAGTCGGATAAGCTCGTCCTCACGCCCCTTCCAGTAGTCCTCAAGCAGCCGGTAGCGCTTGCGCGCTATCTGGCATACTTGGGCCTTGGCCACCGCCACAATCGCTGGGTCCTTGGAGTGCAGCATCTGCCATGCATGCGCCACCTGCAGTGCATGGTGCATTTCCACCAGCGACTGCAGTTTTCCCAGACCACCACCAGATGTAGGAGAATAGAAGAACTCCGTGGTGTCAGACTGGGGTAGGCGCAGCAGATGCCGCAACCCCCGCTTCACGGCACAATCGAATCCATGCAGCTGGGACTGAAGCGGGCGGAGGTGGCGAAGCACATACTCCACCTTGTGGTAGATATATATGTCTTGAACTCCTTCAACGCCTTCTAAGCTGCCAGCCCTGACTGCATTAACGCCACCGCCTCCCTCTTGATCTCCTGAAGTTTGGGCTCCAGCTGGAGGCGGTGGCGAACATGACCGAAGCCATCGCCCACCCCTAAATAACGATACCTTTCGTTAAGGGAAAGTGGGACGATGGCATCACCGTTAATTTCCAGTCGCACGCTGGTATCACGAGCCAAGGTTGCCACGAGCGTTTTGTGTCACGGCCAAGCTAGCATACTTGGCCGGATTCGCTCGTAGCCCGATCCATGCCAAGAAGCGCACGACCACGCTATGACAGCGGCGGATTCCGTCGGCGCTATCACAGAAGACTTTAAAGGTCATCCGCCTATGCAGTGGTGCATGGCCGTACACCATCAGTCAGATGCACCCCGACTCCATCCAGCCGCTCCAGACGGCAGACACAAGTAGGACCAGTGCGGCAATGAAAAGGAGTGGGCTAAGGGGAAATCTCTGATAGAACCCCACCTCCTGCCGCACCGGGTCCGTCGCACCTGTCATGGGCGTTAGCCACCACAACAGCTGAGCATTGGTAGATGTCCTGGCACCGGTCAATAAACCGGGACTCGACGCCGAGATGGCGGAGTACACGCCACATCAAACCTTGGGGCAAAGAACCAAACGCGTTACGCAAGTCATACCAAACTTGGTAGAGTTTGTGATGATAACGCCGCGTCTGGTCCAACAGCGTGGTGGCCAGGAAATTGTGCTCATGGCACCCATTGTGGGCCTGAACCCTTTCTGTGCCATAGGCAACATGTTGTTGCCTTCCAGCCAGCGCGATAGCCTGCGAGCCAGCAAACCACTATAAAACTTGTAGATGGTGGGCTGCAGGCATATCGGCCGCCAATTCTCTGGCCGCATCGGGTCGCCCTTCTTGTGGATAAGGCGCACAATGCCAACATTCCACGAAGCCGGTACCCGCCAATGCAGCCAGCAGAACTGGAACGGAGCGTGAAGAAGGGGAACCTTAGCTGGGCGGCGAAGCATCGGTATATATCATACCCGATGCCATCGTGGCCGGGACTGGATGCCTTGGCAGCGCGGGGGAGCTGGTCTTCAACTTCATCCATTGCCAGCTCCCCGTCCAAAGCATCCGCCTCCAGCACGGCCGGCCCAAAGCTGGCCAGGGCTGCACGAAATTTCTGGCCACGCGCAGCGTCATAGTCGAACACTGCCCGCGCCGAGCTGGTTCCCGTAAAGTAGCGAAACAACTCGGCGCGGTCGATGGGACACGTGTCTGGGTGTTCCTCCCCAGCCGTGCCCACCGAAGCGCCAGCCAGGATCTGCGACACACACTTGGCCTCATCCTTCGAGGACTCTGGCGCAAGGTGTGTTGGGCCATGGACGCCCGCGCCCTTCCAACCCGTCGACGTGCTTTACGCACGGCACGTAGATTCGCCGGGGCTGCACCCTGGGTAGCCTGCATATCATCCAAGGCTTCTTTCAGGCGAGCCTCGCGGGCGGATTGGGTCACACGGGGCGGGCTTGGCGCCGCCACGCGTCTCGAGCTGTCCTTGACGCCGATAAAAAACTGTCGGCACAGCAGAAAACGGCAGCAGCACCGCACAAATCCGGTCTGGGATCGAGATGACGTACCCTTCGCCCATCTCCCAACTGCTCGCGTCGACGATTCAGCTGGCCACACCCTCCACAACTGCTTGGAAAGCATTAGCCGCGGTCTTCTGCTCCTCCTCGCCCAACGGTCGCAGCCGGAGGCCGAGGTTGACGTGCAGGAGCCAAGCCAGGTCCTATGGGCAAAGTCGGGTAGGCTTCACCCCCGTCACGCGCCGCAATGTCAGCGGCGACGGCAGCCTCATCGTCGTCGACCTCCATCACGTCATCAGCAGCCGAGGCACCAGAACACGCGGGGGTAGGCGAGGCAGAAGGTGCCGAAGGCGTAGGAGGGAGCGGCTGGAACAGCCAAGCACGTCGTCGGAATGCGGACCACACTCAACGACGGTGCGGTGGAGATCCAGCGCGCGGTTGGCGAGGCGGTCAGCTTGGGCGTTGGCTTGGCGGTCGATGTGCGCGAGTCAATGCCAGTCGAGGCGTCGCATCTCGTCGCGCACACGACCTCGCAGCCGACGGAGCTTTCGGTTGGTGCACCCAAGGAGTCGCGCACCTGTGCAAGCACGAGGTTGCTGTCGCCTTCGACAAGCAGTTGCGTGGCACCATGGTGTACTACCCCTGCAACCCCACAAGCAGTGCTGTATACTCCGCAGTTTTATTGGTTTCACTGCTGGAGTGGAGGTATTGTGAACATGTCCACACCACCGTGCCGCTAGGTGCAAAAAGCGCCGCACCGGCACCACCTGACCCTGGATTGCGACGACAAGCCCCGTCAAAACGCAATACCCAAGGGTCAGGTACCCCCTGAGTCGATAGCGACCGCCATATCGGGTGGCAGAACGCTCCCACGTGGCCCCTTTGGAGATGGTGAGGCAGGCGGGGTGGCGTCGACGGGGACAGCAGGGGCAACCGATGCAGCAGGGACATCAGCAGGGGGATAAGATTGGATACAGCAGGAACATCAGGCAGCAGGAACATCATCATCAGGAACATCAGTAACAGGAACAGAAGCAATATCGGGTGCAGCACGATCCGGTTCAGGCGCCCCACGCAACCTGGAACGGCGACCGGCAAGCGGCACCATCACCAACACGCGTGGACCCTAACACGTGCGAGCCCTACGGAGGGCGGGGGGTTCAGAGGGTCTAGTCGCCGGCGTTGGGGAAGCCGTTACACCGGTGACAAGGCGAGCTACGGCTGCCACTCCGATCGCACAGTGACATGGCCCCCAACGCGTGGCACGAGTACCAGACGCGGCAGGTGTCAGTGGTCTGCGTACTGCCGGAGCAGCGGCCTCCTCAGTCCTTGTCACCGATAGAACAGGGGCGGCGACGCCCACTGTGCAAGGTCGAGGTCCCCTACGAGCACGATTGTCCGGCTCGCGTTGGAGTGAGGACCCAGCCATCTCGTGCATTAGCACGTCCTGAGCAACGTGGGCCGAGGCTTGAGCAGCTTGGGCAGGAGCAGGAACTGCGGAGTCGACGACCTGCATAACAACAACCAAGTCCAGGCCATCTAGGGTAGCGTCGGGGTCGTTAAGACGACGACGTTTCCCAGCAACCCGGACTTGGCGGAGCAAAGTCGTAGGGTACCTCATGGGAAGGACGCAACGGTGCCCATCATGAGCAGCAGCGGGGGGGGCACGTAGCTCTGGAGGGTGGCGGCATCTGCAGCTGTGGTGCCGCTTGGTGCGACTGCCACGAACGCAGGCGCCGCCGCGCTGAGGAACCCGAAGGAGGGAGGGTCAACCTCACGGCGCGGAGCAGACCAAACAGAACCAAAGAGAGGCGCCGAAGAGTCCAACACGGGGGGGGCGGAGTCACGTGCAGCGGCCACGGCGGCGTAGGAGCTGTCCTTGCACGCCATAGCGTGCTTGGTTACCGCCGCACGTGACCGGAATCCTATGCTGCACGTGCACCCGCTGCGGAAATAATCCACGAAGCGGGTGGCACGATGAGCTGTGCGTCGATGGCCAGCGAGCGCGGCGAGGTCTGGACAAGTGTGCGCACACACTCCGCAACTGAATGCGGAAGCGTTGTGTGCAAACACCGTCAGCACAGGGTCCCGTAAGACACTGAGAGGCTGGGGAGAGGGGAGGGTGCGTAGACCCTGTGCGACATCGTCCTCGTCGCTCTGGCCATCGTCTTGAAGTGCACCGCCCGCGGGCAGCATGCCGCCCTGCCGGGTGAGCACTGAACATTAGCTGGATCTCGAAGGGTCCCATTGCCCGGAAAAGTGGAGTCTGCAGCCAAGGAGCACAAGTCGGCATCACTTGACCCGTCCTCGAGTTCGCTGGGGCCGTGGGAGGCACCAGAGCGCAAGCCGTAGCAGCGGCAAGCACTGCCCCTGACTACCCAACACCGGGCAGCCTACCACCTACCCTGCCAGGCAGTCTGACACGAGAGGCAGGAGTGAGGGCGAGGCCGAGCACGAGGACAGGGGAGGGAGGAGCCAAAAGGTGCGATGAAAAACCTGGATGCTGTTCGTAGGCACCCGTGGAGCCGTCGCTCTGAGCGTGGTCATGTTGGACCCGGTCGGGCAGCATGCCTGCCGCCCTGCCGGGTTGATACAACAAACAAACAAAGCCAACAGGCGCGCCTACAGCCGAAGAAGATCCCACGAAGCTTGAAGAGTCCGCCAACGGGCGCACATGATCACCAGCAGGAGCCAACGGCGCGCTTGGTCGCCCGGCGGGGGGCTCACGCTCGAGCCAGGGCCTGCAGTAGCCACACCCTCGCTATGCGAGCCGAGGGGAGCGGGGAAGCGGGTTGTCAACCCCCTATACTTAGACCAAGTATAGGGGGTGCGGGCGAGCCAAAAGGCGAGGCAGACGACGCCAAAGCCGGCTCTGCCCGATCCAAAACGGGGGCAAAAATGAGAGGCCCCGGAAAATCCCTATTTTGACCAATCAGATCTACCGAAGGTTTAGACGGTGGATCTGATTCGCCAGAAAGAGCAAACAACTGTTCTAACTGGGAATCTGGCCAGCCGATGAAAGAGTTAGTTAAAGTCTAGTTCGTCCATCACCCCGCCTGTCTCTGTCTTAGCAGCTACACTGTAAAAAGACGCATCACTGCCGAGACTGGACTGGTTATCGGTAGAACATTCGCTGTCCGAAGACGTCGAGCATTCCAGAAGTTCCCAATCCGGCCACCAAAATTGCATGCTAAGTACGAATAGTGGTGACCGAGTGGTTTCTGATCAAATGAAGGATGCTACACTTGTTCTTAGTTTAAAAGTCGATGAGGTATGGTGACATTTAAACAAATTAAATTGTACCTTTACGTCATATATAAATGTCCGAGCAAATGGTAATATTTGAATTAAATAATGACGAGATGAAGTGAATGTGTGTTTCGTATATGTTCAATCTCATCTTAAAATAATTATAATTAATTTACATACAAACGGAACTTCGTGCGACAGTTTCTAAGAATTCGTCCAGCGAACGTATTTGGCTATGCGGAATTATTAAACTTTAATTTTTTTCACAACTTATCGTATCAACTATCGCCACCAGTAGTAGTGAAGAGAACGAAACAAATGTCTGTTGAGTTGAGCAGACCATGAGGCTTGCGACAGTTAAAGCAAAAAGTAAGCAAGGATACATGGCAGCGATCAAGGCACGTGACACATTCGACGACAAGATTATCGGTGAATGCTGAAGAGCAGAGGGAGATAGCTCAGGACGTGGTAAACCTAATTACTTAGCGTAATAAATTTATTGTATTGTTAATTAGATAATTAAAGAACCATACATTGAAGCGATAAAGAGGTCCAAATTACAAATGCAGGTAAAGTTAATAATAAAAGATAAGCTGTAATTAAAAAAGAAATCTATAAAATCTTAAACCTGGAGCTCGCATATTATAAATAGTTGTAATAAAATAATGGCACCGAAGAGAAATCTTTGTTAAATCTAAACCAAACATAGCATAATCTACTAAAGGTCCTGAGTGGGCTTGTACTGGGATGGATTGAGGCAATGGATAAGATATTTACGAATTGATGCGGCTTGGAATTTTCGATATCATCAAGCGATTTCAAGAACAGAAATGCGCTGCTAGCAAGTGGTTTATCAAGACGAAGACTAACGTCAAAAATCAAGTTGAGAATTTCGTGACCCATCTTGTTGCTTATTCCAACTAAACCAGACTCTCAACCACAACGGAAAAATGAAGCTGTCCATCTGTGAGTGTTGTGCGCGTAGGGTTGACGTGTTGAGTGCATGATATCATCTTCTGCCCTCATTTCCGTCTTATGTTTGTTTACCAGCTCCAAATTCCACCCAACCAAAGCTGCCACAACATATCCAGACCTCTGGTACCAGGTTTCTGCCCTACGGCAATGATAGTTTCCAACTGTTGAACACATGCCGCAAGCTCACGCGGGACTTAGCGCACGCCAAGAAATCGAGACTGATTACGGTTGTAACGGGTTCGTACCGTTACACGCCATATCAAGTACGATATGGCAATAATGACGGTCCCATTATTATGCATAATTAGATCGACAACATTGACAATATTGCATAAAGTAGGAAAAGGAAAAGATACGAATAGCGTATCTTTTAGTGTCATTATTTGATTGGTTAAGAGTGGGGTTTTGCCACATTACACCCAATAAATATTTGGCACGTATTTGAATGTTTCACAGAAGGCTTAGATATTTTGATCTAGCCTTAATAATAAAACAGAGTTTAAAATAGTCTTTAGTACGCAAATAAATTGCATACTTCTTACGCTTCCTCAAAAAACCTTAGTGTTAGCTACGTAACGGATCTCTCGCCCCGATACACCTGGTAGCACTTAGTAGTCCTTCCAACGCGATGGATGACGACATGCCCCTCGAATCTGTCATGAAGACACTGAAACACAATTCGTTCACTTACCTCACGCTAGTGGAGTGGGAAGGCCTTCACCGCCTCGCAGCGGTGTCTGGCCAAGTTGTTGTTACGACGCTGCTAAACGCAGCGTCACCAAGCTAACAACGTGATGCCGCCCAAGAGTTCATGGTACGCGAGCTCGCCGAAGCAAATCGGCGAGTACAAACTCCCTCGCGTTCTCAAAGAACTGAAGCAGTCAAAATAGAGACGTACCTCTACTCGGGTGCGGGTACAGATCGTCTCCCACTCAATCGTTGGTTTCGAGATATTGATATCGCTATTGCCTCGAGATTTATCGAGGCGATGTCATCGAAGGTTAACTTTCTCCTCTCACGCCTGACTGGCAAGGCGAAAGAGTGGGCTATGGGAAAGCTGTTAG